ATTTGTTAATTTACTGGTGAATATCCAAATTAATTTCGTCAATATTTTAACTTCAGACGCTCATAAAAATATAGTGTGGATATACGCTCATCTTTTTTTAATTTCCACTACCAACCGCTTACGAGGAACGTTGTATTACATTTTAAAGTTTTTTTAATTTTGCTGCCAACATTGGTTCAGTACCTATAAGACTCATCAAACTCATTTTTATGTAATACTATAATATTATAATATATAGATACCACTGTGTCACTAAGAGTAGGTATGTTTAATGATGATTTGTTTGTTATTTATTTTATGATTGTCGTTTGTAATGTTTATTTAGTTTAAACATAGCCCATATGGGTACCTATACATAAAATCTGATTAACAAAACAATGAAAATATAATATAATATAATATCCGGTACTATCGTAAACATAATTTGTTTTCCAGTTTGTTTTACATTTTGTCATTTAATGAACAAAAAAAAAATCCATAATTATTATACATCGGATATCAATTGTCGCCCAGTATCAAATAGACTGCATTGGGTACCTAACCTATCTAATACTGTTCGACAAATGTACAAATCGAATTCATTAGTCATTACCTACCTATGTGAAGTGGGCCTACCCTAACCCACATAATGTTGGGGGCCAAGTAATGTGATAAACGTGCGGCTTCCATAATATAATGGCTCAAACACAAAAAAAAACCCACATAATGATATCCACTTCAAATCTCCAATAATATTTTGCATTTGTAAGTCCATTTTTAGAATTTGCAAGTATCTAGGGTACACAGTTTTTTGTGAAACTTTAGTGTAAGAGAAATTGCCAATTATCTCTGTATGGACAGTGGCCTGTAGTATTTTTACTACTATTATAATCCACATATAATCACTTTTAAAAATGTAACTGAATTGTTTTTATCAGACTAACAAAGTGTAATTCAAATTAATGGAACTTTAATAAACATTTCTTTCGGAACACAAAATTGGGTTGATAACAATATTCAAGATTAGACTCTTTAAATGTTAAAATATTATTATATTATTATTTCCTTTTATAAAATCAAAACAAAAATTTACATATTTATAAACAGTTTTTTTTCGTATGGCCGGAGGTAGGCCGAAGGGGGTAGCCCGAAGGCATAGTTTGGATGCCTATTTGGCGGAATTTATATTTGGGCACCCTTAGGTTTCTGCCATGCCGGGTTGGGGGATCCGTATGGACAGTTGCCTGCCCAGAAAGCGTTGCCGCCCGTGGCCGGGATTCGAACCGGAGACGATACGCATTAAAACCGACTCCTTAGTCCACTCGGCCTCCCCCCCCCCCCATAAATGGTTATAATAGGCAAATAAGTAATAATAATAATGTTTTTTATCGGTAATGCATTTATTTTTATATAGGTACCTCTAAATAAGACTGTATCTTAGTATAAGGGCCGTTTTACATTTATGATGCGTATGATAGGTACTCGTCTATGTGAAACGAGAATTAGTTGTATACCTAAGTTAAAAAAAAATCCAAATTAGGATTTCTATCATTAAAACCAAAAGACAATTTTTTTTCCTGTTGAGAACCGATGACGATAGACAATAAATTGTCTTCACAGTGTTGGGTAATTAAAATCATTTACTAGTTCGAAAAGACTACATTTTACCTCGAAATATCGGTTTCCGTTTCAGTTTCGGTGCTTCGAATAAAACATATTTCAATGACATTTCGGTCTCATACGGTTTTCAATTTTCATAATAGTTCTCATTGAATCGGTCCCCGGACCCAACACCGCTATAGCAGACGACAGCGCCAAAACGCAGAGACTTTACGTTATTAGGTACTCATTACAAAATTATTAACAGATATTGCTCTTATAGTATCTTTAATGATTTCAAGTTCGTTCCACGACCAGGAGGTAGGCAAACTCGTACTGTCTGTATTAAATTGTTTCGTTTTTATTGTGCATATTGCTAGCTCGCAAAAATATAATAAATAAATAAATATTATTATAACATACACGTCGCCTCTATGTATAATGCACACGGTCGGACACTAACACGCGTACACGCCATTTATTATTATTATTGTCGTCGTCGTTGTCGTCGTTTTGTGAGTATAGGTACCTATTGAAATTGTAATAATAACGTCCAACAATGTAGTATACCACACACGCGCCATCGGGTCGTTCCGGTCGTCAGCAGCTCGACCAGATGGAAACGGGACGAGAGTTTTATCCCGTTTTCACGGTCACGTATATTATCGGCGGTCCGCGGCTTCTTTTTGATATATATTTTTCTATTTTTTTTTACTGCCGTTTCCAAGACCGTCTCAACAAAATTTTATTTCGCATGCGTATAATACGGGTATTATGGGTACATACAGCCACGCGATATTATTTTCCACAACTCGTTACACATAATACAATAATATCGTTGTTATTGTCGTACGCATGTAAAACTACACACTGCACGTACTTACAATAATAATAATGATGATAGTGATATTTTATCTTCATACACCCTCGAGAGTCATCCTTGTGTGGCAATTTGCTATTTGCAAGCAGTCCGGGACAGTGACGGATATATCCTAGTTTTGAGAGAGGGGGGTAAATTTAAAATCCACCAATTACCCCCCCCCCCCCCCGATAACCACCAGGTCCGGGAAAACAATTATTAGTGCCGGAATAAAAGATATTATTCGTCACCGCGGCTCTTAGGGATCGTCGTTTAGGCACAGTACATAACTCGGGGTGATTTCCCAAGCACGTTCGACCACAATTTTCCTATGGAAATGAATTATTTAAAATACAGATTTTTGGAAATTTTTTAATAGTATATTTAAACACCATATTTTCAAATTTTTGCGATTTTTTTGTGATGGGCACTTAAGGAGCGTGGCGATATATTTAAATTCTGGTTTTCAAATGAGAACCCCTTTTTAATGTAAATTATTTAGTGGATATTTTTTTTTCCTTATAAAGGTAAACCTTTAAAATGGGCTTACAGAAATATTAAATATAATTTATTGTATTCAGTGTTTGTTATACTCCTTACTCTGACCATTTTTACAAATTATTTATTATATTGATAGATTAATATTAATAACTTTCAAATAACCATAGCTCCAGACAAATTTTCCAAACTAATCATTGATAATCCTTATAGACCTAATTATCCTTAATACACAAAGTTAAATAACTCAAAAAATACTCGTTCAAATTTTACTTACCTATTCAAAGCTAATATTTTCAAATTCTAGAGATCTTTTGTACTACTTAAGGAGCATTCTATGGAGATAAAAACTTCTGTCTTTCAAATGAGAACCATTTTTTTTTTATTGTATTCGTTGAATAATTTTTATAAAAATATTGACGAAAAAAAATTTGAACGAGCAGTTTTTGAGTTATTTATCTTTGTGTACACCTTACCTGTTTCTGTTCCGAAAATCAGATTTCAAATAACTGCATTATTGAAGAAAAATTGTGTCAGCATGCTTAAAGAAGCGCCCTGTATAATACACTTTGGGTGTCTATTTACCACCCTTGGCATTTTATACTGTAGTATACAGGACGAAGTTTGGTCTTGGATTTGTCATTTGTATTTTATATTATTATTATTTTGATGATTTATAGGGCCCTCTGTCCCTCTCTAGTCAGCTGCGAAAAAAACGTTTCGATCTCTTTCACCCGTTATCGGCAATGGTTGTCCCATAGCGCCAAAACTGCCAAAGAGACGGTAAAAAATCTGTTTCTGTAGATTACTGCAGGGACGAAAAACCTGAAAAAATTATTAATTTTTCGGGTAGTTGTGGGTAAAATATATAACATAACATTTATATTAAAAAAAACAACACATTTTTTTAAGTTTTTCTTTTTTTACAGTACACACGCCGTACGTGTGTATTTATTAATAATAATTTATTTGTCATAACAACACTGATTTTTCCTTTTAAGCTTTCATACTCTTCAATAATAATTATAGTTATAATAATAATAATAATAATAATCTAAATAGGCAATAAAATATCACAGACAATACTTAAACGAATACATCAAGTAACATACCTACAAAAAAATATTAAACAAACAGTAGGTATATCATGTACTATATTAATACGAGGGACAACAGCTGAAGAGGTAAATCGTCGGATCTCGCGTAACGGTATCAACACTACGATAATAATGAAAATTATGATAATGATAATGATAGTAATAAAAATAATAATAATAATAATAATAATAACTACAATGACTTTAACAAACTAGACACAATGTTTGATACAATTAGGTCGTCGTAAAAACAATTTGATAAACATATATACAACGTGTAAATAACAGTCTGGATACGCGGAGGTACCAAATAAATAAATAAATAAATAAATAAATAAATAAATAATAAATAAATAAATCAGTAAATAAAAAAATTGTTAACGCTAAAAAAAAAATATATCTAACTATAGATAGTACACATTATAATAGTATGATAATATAAGTACGCGGTAGGTAATATAATAATAATACATTTGTTCGCTAGTGCGAGAGTCGTTTGAAAACAAATCGAATAAATCATAATAATAAAACAAATAATGACTTAAAACTATTATACGTAATGCATAATAAACGAGAAACAATTGGGACAAGGTGATGGCGGGGAGGTGGGATCGGTAGCGGTGGATTAGTCGGAGGGTCAGGAGGTAGAGTGAGGGGGGGGGGTGTAATTGATTTACATTCGATAATAATATAAAACATTTAAGCACAAATGTAATTAACTAAACGTAAACGCGTGCCGTCCGTATCCGTACTGTCGTATGTATAGTAATAATAATAATAATAAACCTATATAAATATGTTGTAATAATAAGTGACGTGTGCGAAAAGTGAACGAGTGGCGACGACGAATATGTATCACAATAATAGTTAATAATAATAATAATAATAATAATATGTATCAGCGGTGATGATGGATTATGGGGTCGGAGACGGTGGCTGCGGCGGCGGTGACGATCAGGTCGCGTTTATTATCTTTTCGTTTTCAGGTACCCAAAAGCCTCGATCACGTATTGTAGGCTGGTCATGTACTCACGCAGTATCAGCCAGTCCCTGAGCGACTGATTGTCACGCGAAATCCTCGACTCCATCGGCATGATGTCCCTGGACACGTGCGATTCCGGCGTATCGTTGATTTCGTAAATTGCCATTGAAACCTCACACAGGATCTTAAAGAAAACAAATTCAAAACGAAACCGTTTTAGTATATAGATTCGTTGTAGGTAGGTAGGTAGGTATGGTTAAGTAGGTAGCTACGACGACGACAATACCATATTGTCATACTGCAGTATACACAGAGACGCCAATACAGACGCCCAAACTATAATAATGTACCTAGTACCTCTATAGTCTATATTATAATATATAATAATACAATACGATAACGACGGACCGCAATTTAATGAGCACAATCGCCAATGCGTAGACGATAGTCGGTAGGCCCGACACTATAATATTATAAACAACCTACACCTTGGAAATTGGAAGTGTTTGGTTTACGAAATAATTTATTTTGTTTTTCCTGCATATTATTCGCATTTCGCACGTACAAATATTAAGGTTTATCGAAAGAAAGCGCCGTTCATTTATTATTTAAAAATTAAAAGTTAAAACAGTGATAAATCAATAGAAATCCACGCCGGCGCCGAGAGCAGCCGACTTAAAACGCCAAATTGATAATATGATATTTGGTGGAGCTCGCAGCAAAGGCGCTCGGGGCAATATAAACGCGTATCTCAAAGGTTCGTAATAGATTGTCCGTCGGACGAAAGGACGTGCCTGTACCTATTATAATATACGTGTTATAATTTCAAAATTTTAATATGTTATCAATGGCGTGCCACTCGATAAAATATTTAAATATCATCAACTACAACAAGGGTGGGTCTTGGAGTTTTTCGTCTATCATTCGATCATCGTGAAAAATGTAATAATAATATTATATTAATAAGGTACGATTTCCCTGAAGCGTCAAACAGTGGAACAGCACGTCCGCGTGAGTCAGACGCCGACCTATGTCCGGACGCTGCAGGGAAAACGTACCTATACACATAGACCCACCAATTATATATTTGAATCGATACCGATTAAAACGTGTAATATAACATTATAATTAAATGTTTTCGAGGCTTGTGTTTATAAACACGGTTATGCATGTAATGGCAGAAAACTATAAGCTGACAGTAATTCGAAACGATGTATACAGCCCGATGGTTTCGAATCTACGCTATTACATTATTAGATGCCGCGATCGTGTTTAAACGGTAAACTATAATTTATAATGCTCAAACTTGTGTTACTTAAACGGCGAAAAGGCATGCAATAATAATAAATAGATCTAAACGCGCGGGACTACCTACTATTTTTTTTTTTTTTTTTGTAAGTAACAAATTAACGCGTAGAAAATTAATAGTATTTCGTCGTTGGGATCATTGAATTAATAATTATAGGAATACATTATACCTATACATTTATAGCTACGGCCATGGTTTTTTGTACGATGATTTCGGTAGCGGAATAGGAAAAATAAAAACATCACGACTAGGAGGTAATCATTATTAATACGCTATTATACAAACGTGTAAATTATTTCCATATATAATATCGTACTAATGTCGATTGGCCATAATGTTATAACAGAACGCTATTATATAGGTACATAATATTATAATTATGTCGTAAATATCAAGTTATTATAATAATATTGTTATACAGGAGAGCGCGAGACCGGGTAATGTAATATACTAATATTATTTATTTTCGACTGTGCCAAAAAAAAAAAATCAAAAAAAATCTTGTACCGTACATAGTCAGGTGTACGTGCTAGCGATCACACGCGTTTGTTATATTAATATTATGTAGGTAGGTACCTATTTATTATACGTCATCATCGTCAAGAAAAATGTTTTATTTTTTAGCGAATTCTTCGATAAAACGGTGCCCAACTTCATATTATTTTATATTATATAGGTAAGCGAGGACTTTAGAGCGGTAACGGAGTGCGTATATATATATATTTACTGTAAGCAACCATCAAACTCGTCATACACCAACAAGTTTATTCGCAAAACTAAATCGTTCAATTTTGACACGATGTTTTTATCTAAAATATTAAAATAACGTTTACTATACGATTATAATATATATTATTGATATGTGGTATTTTATGAGACGCGCGACGTCTGCAGGACTCGTTGCACTCTGCCAGTGTGCAGGTGCACTCGGCGAAACGTTTTCCAAGTGAACGAAAGAAAACATTTCCAAGTCGACTAGGCCTTAGAATCGTTTACCTTTTACCCAAACGAAATGGCGCTTTTGCGATTACGTTGGTCTTAGGCATAATATTGCCAATGATGACATAATAATATATCTGTACAAAAAAAAATAATAAATACTTACAGTTCTCAGTTTCAAAGTGGTCTCGTTGAAGTACTTGGCGTACGGGAGCATCTCCCGGTCCTGGTCCAAAGCCACTTGTTCTAGACCCACAGCCAAGTTTTGCATACCGACGTACACGGCGTGCAGTACGTCCCTGAACGTCAGACTGGCCAGATAGGACTTGCTGAGAGGCACGTCCAGCGCTTTAGGCATGTACTTGGACAGCTCGAGCCAGTCGAGTTTGATGCCTTTCCAGTGGTCGTGATTTTTCTTGACGTCGACGTGAAACGTTTCGACCACCTGCGCGGAACAGAATAAAAAAATCACCTCGGTCAGCGTATGATAATAATAATAATAATACTACGTTTATTACACAGAATATGTATTATGTATAGATAATAATATATATTGTATATAGACGACGACGACACACGCGGGGCGGTTGGTGGTCCTATATTAAACTTTTTTTCCTTTCGTAAACGGACGGGTTTATAATACAACAATACATTATTGATAACAGTAATATGGTCCGGCGTCAAATCGAATGGGATACATAATACGAGCATATAGGTGGTACGTAAATGATGTACCGGCGCGGTTTGCGCAAAATTCTTTCGAATTTGTTCACTCTTTGCGACCATATTACATTGTGCGTGTATATTATTATTCTTGGTCGTTGTAGTTTTTTTTATTTTTTTTTGTTTTTTCTTTATTTGCGGTTTGCGCGTATACATATTATAGCGATTGTGTGTGTGTGTGTGTGCAAAAAATATAATAATTAATGATAGGTACGACGACGATGACCGTTGGTCGGCGCGGCCTGTCGTCCGAGATTAAAGAACGCGGCGGGCGACGAGACCGCACGACGACCATACTCACTCTCGACGAGTATAGTAATATAATGGCAAATGACAATACTTGTAACACAACAATACATCAAGTGGCCAATTGAGTATTTTTCACGCTCTTACAACCACGATTACGGCATCCTACACACCGTAGTATTCCGGCTTGCAAAGCGACCGAGGAAAAGTCCCATAAACAGCGTAATAACAATATAATATTGTTATTGTTATTATTATTATGAGGGTAACATATATTACACGCTTATTAAATATATAAGAAAGTATTGCGTTTGCGTATAGTTTTATTTTTGGGGCGGCTTCTTGTGCACATTATTTGATTAAAAACATTGTGAAAAATATAAGATAATAATAATTGAACTCGGCACGGACTTAACATTTTGGAAAACTAGCTGTTAACAAAATACCTAGACCAGATAATATACCTATAATACTCAAAGGCGTATTACAATAACTATTACACGATTGAAATGACGGTCTTGAAAAAAATTAAATGTTATCAATTTGTCAATACTATTCCGAAGCAGAATATTATTTTGTAGTATTTCGATGTACACAAATCGAATTTCGGAAGAGTAACTATAATTAATTTAAAGTTTAACTTAATCATTATAATATCTACCATTATACCCGTCCGTAGGTGCTCTGAAAAATATTCTGCTTTGAAATGATGAATTAAAAATGTATGTTGTCATTAAAAAGTAAAAGCTTAAAAATCGGTAAGCATTTTATATTTTTTTAGATATGTTAAAACAATATTTTCAAAAACTTCAAATATTTTTTAAATAACGAGAGTTCTTTGCTGAAAGAATCGCCCTGTATTGGTATAATATGTAACACGAAATAATAATAATATTATGATAATAAATAGTAATATCGTTATTATAATATTATATGTGTCACAGACGGCAGCGTCGTATATTATTATGTCGCACAATACGCGCCAGTTGTAATCGCGTCGGAAAAAATCCAACAACCCGCCCCTGGATCATAAAGTTTGATGAGTTGACGGTTTGTAACAGTTGTATTGTTGTTGGCGTCGTCGACGTGTCCGTCGTCGGTTTAGATTTTTGAGAAAAAAATCAATTTTTTTTTATGTTGTTATATGAATTCGTTTTTTTAAATACTTAAATTTGTAAACAACAATACTCGGCGGTATACCGTCCCTCCCTCCTCTACCCTCTACATAATATTGCAAACCGTTCGGTTGTAATATATTATACGACTTACTTTATTATAATAATTATTGTTGGAATAATAATATATTTATTTTTTCGTAGGTACCTAGTAACTACCTATATATTTTGTAGTCCATACCTACTTACGATATTATGTACAGTATAATATAAGGTTCATTAGAAGTTATATTATAGATATACGTAATATAATAATTATCATTTTCAGATTAGTTTTATTTCTATTATTATTAATTTTTTTTCTTTTCCTTGACTGGATTTGTTTTCTGGTTTAAACAGGCGCCTGGCAGCGACCATGACGGTCGATTGATCGATATGGATGAGCGTTATTGGGTGTTGGCAAGATTTTTTTTTATCGCTCACTACATTGTACACAATCTATCCCTATGCTTCATTTGTACAATGTACGTGAAATTTATGACTTGTCAATTTGTACGATAAATAATTTAGATGTATTTTTGTTTTTTTTTGTCGCGTCCGATAACTTCTTTATAAACGTGACCACCAAAACCATAATAACGATAATATTCGGTAGGCCGACAATGTACTGGAACACTTTGTTCGGAGTTAATTCGAGAATATTGTCGTGTCAACGGTTTCGAATATTATACAGAGTACAAAATAATAGTATGCATTGTGACCATTTGGTGCGAGGGAAGAATATCAACAACATCTAAAGACTATAATATAAAATCAAACACTAATAATACGATCCGATATTAATACGAAGTTATTTAAGAATAATGGTTATAGATACCATATATTATTTTATGATAGGTATATTAACGTATTATTTCACATTCAGCGAGGTTCTCAGTGGACCTGATTAGTTTATAAATTTATTAACATCACCAAAACGGAATTATATTGAGAAGTACAATACACGGTAAGTAAGTACTCGTCTGAATATTGTCGTGACTATGAGAGTGTGAGACGAAAAAAACAATAATTATTACACAATTATACCACATAATATCTACTATGAGTCAATGCATAATTATATATTTTGTTTTAATCGCAACAGTTGAGTATTATACATGTTTATTGTGCATATTATAATACTCGTACATTATATGCACAAGACGTGCGTTTTTTTTTATAAATCCACCTATATGTTATATAGTATTATAATTGCGATTTTAGATTTGAAAAGAAAGTCAAAACGATAAAAGAAAATTAACCGTCATTCGCCGGGTGTGTAAATAATATATGTGTCTGTGTGTTTGATGTAAGTATACTGAAAAAAAAAAGTAATTTAATAACAATAATCGGCGAGTACTCGTTATGACATATTATTATCGTTTTATAATCAAGTATAATATAATAACGTCAATATTTATCTTAATATTCACGTAATCGTGTATAAAGTATTAAAAATATATGTATGCATATAGGGAATATTATTGTTTGAGTAAAAATCCAAAACATAATCGGACAAATGGATGTCGATCTATTTATTGAGTTTGTCAATCATATTATACTAATATTATAATACCTACGTTATGATATTATTGAATTGTTCTATATGATCCTACACTGGGGGGGGGGGTCGCTCATTGAATGGAAGGGAGAGGGTGATCCCCTTTGGAATTTTTTATCTATTGATTTATCATATTTTATTGTTAAAAGAAAAATTCCTATTTGTTTTGGGCATAACGTTGTTAAAATAGTAAAAAATATACATCCCCCAACCCCCACAATCATCCACCATCAAATAATTTGAGCTCTCCACTAATCCAACATTCGGTTATAGGTGTAACACCTGTATATAATATTATAGATAATTATAATAAAAATAAAGACGAATTTCTCTACATGAAAACATTATGTTTTACTGTCCGTCGCGCTTGGTCTATAAAAAACGAAGACCGAAAATTGTTTTTAAAAAAAATTGTCGAACCGAGTCGGCGGCGTCGTTTGAAACACGGTACGGCACCAGCCTTCACTTTTATCGCTTGGTATTATTGTTATTGTTGTCGTGTCGTTATAATAATGTCGTGCGACCACCGCATGTCCGGTCGTACGAAGAGCTGAGCGCGCGATAACCGAGCGATAGCGATGATATTGTAATACGCACTGCGGTGCGCGCGCGCGACGACGGTTTTCGCGGAAAGCGCGTTTGTTTTTCCGCCGACGCTGTCACCCGAGACGCGCGGACGGCCATAACAATGTTGTGACAACAATGTTACGATAATGTTATCGTGGTCGGTCTGCCCGTGCACTATGAATGAGAAATAACGGCCCGCGAGGATTTCGCTGAAAATGCGTCCGACGGCGACGGACGGTCTGCGGCCGACGACCGGCGCCACTCTGCACGCTTCGGCCGCGGTGGTCGACGTTAGTGATGAGTGACGAGAGAGGTAGCGAGGTAGATTGCGCGCACACCGTGACGGTCCCACTCGCGGATCGTAATATTTTTTTATTTTTTATGTTAAAATTCATTATTATCATATTGAAAATATAATATATATTATTAGTTTAGTGTTTATTATTGAAACGAAGTTTTTTATGGCACGATGCGGGGTTAGTCGGGAAAAAAAGGTTCCTGATGAAATACTATTTTTTTTAAATATATTAAACAGTTATTTTAGCCAAAACATCCAATTTTCATTCCATCATACTGATCGATCTAGTGATGCGATAATACTTTTTAAAACAGATTTGAATTTCATAGTATGTCTACTTGATATTGGTCAGTCCACTTTTCTCAATTTCACCCTCTAACCTCTAAAAATTTAGCTTGAATATTTCAAAATTACGGAATTTTCAAACGTTGATTTTTCTGGATTTATTCGGAATTTAATGCAGAAATCTTAAAATGTGGACTGACCGATCTCTAAGATAAATTATAACGAATTCAGATCGGTTTTCAGAAATATTATCGCATTATTAGATCGATTGGTAGGATGGGACAAAAAAAAAAAAGAGGGAGCGGTAAGTTGTAGAGACGGTCCGCAATAGATTGATTATAAATATTTAGCTTATATTGATAATATGATAATGGATAATACGTCTCTACACTACGTATATTATGCATTTATAACTATTCTAATTAATTAAATATATATGTAATAAGTATATAATATATATAAGTATTGAATATTGTACTTAGGTAATATATTTTTTGTCACGCATGCACCGAAAGTGTAAGTTGTAGTCGACGTATAATAGAATATTGCAACAAATCGAGCAAACGTTCACGTACTGACAATTACGCAAGACAATTCGTATAAAATAACAA